AAGAAATTCACATGTTCACCATTAGCGAGTTTGCGTGTGTGTGTGTGTGTGTGTGTGTGTGTGTGTGTGTGTGTTTCCTTCCAGGGTGTCCAGAATTGACCGTCCCAGCAGCCTTCTTAAGGCTGAAGAATGTGCAGAGAAAACAAGATTATACGTATTTATCCAGGGTCTGCAGAGACACAAAATAGCAACTCTGGTGTGGAATGGTTTGAAGGTGAGACTTCTGTAGGTTTAGATTAATACCTCAGTTTTTTTTGTACAGACTGGAAGATTGAAACTGTAAATTTCATTTTTTCCGACAAACACGTCTCKGTTTGATAATTTATAAGAAAACAAAATAAGATTGCTGCTGCTTAGAAGAGTTGTTGCAGGAACATTTTGCTTACAACCATTTTATTGATTTATTAATGGATTAAAAGAACTCGAGTGAGGCCATGTGATTTGCTCTAAAAGCACCCGATTTACTTATTTTTCATTTTAAATGATTTTTTCTGAGTTGAGTCTGTCTCATTCAGTCTGCCAGCTTCTTCTTGTAAACACCGGCTTCAATATTGTATTTAAAACCTTTTGCYTAATCTTGGTAAAACTGATCAGGGAGTGTTATCTTATTCTTGATTATTCTGTAGTTTGACGGTGACTTACAGAGAGTGAARATGACCTAAACAGTTCCACGTCATACAAGTTTATTTTTTCTTACAGCAGACATGAAAGAAGAAGAAAGAGACACGCCCACATCCTGGAGAAAACACATTGATAAAGATGATAATAATAATCTTACTTATTTTCATTTCTAATCCAAAAATAAATAAAATAATAAATTAATACATAAATAAATAAATTTAATTCTAATCTTCAGATTAAAGTATTTACAGTTTGAGTATTTGAAAAAGTAGAACATGGTGTCAAACAGAGAAAATTATCTTTATAGCATTTAGAACAACCATAACCTAAAAGATAAGAAAGACACATCTGTTCCATTCATTTATTGAGCCTTAATCTCCAACAACTGTTTGATTTATTATTTCTTAGAGATTTTAGATTTTAAAAGAGCCAGTCATCAGATATTGTCCAAGATTAACCTTCAGGGTGGATATAGCTCACTAGCAGCCTCACACAGATGACCTATCCACATCATCATTTACCCAGAATGCTTTGTGCGTAAATAAAATGGCTCCGTCCGTGTAATATATTTTTAAAATATACAAAACTGAACAGCCTACAGTATTTTTACAGTCTTTATTTTACAGTTAAAATAAATGTTTATCAAATAAAGGGTAATGTTACAACTAATCAGGGATCCCTTTAAAGTTTTATTTTTTGGGGCCAGATTAAATGTTAATGAAGGCCAAATTTTGCTCATYGGCCTTGGGTTTGACACATGCTCTAAAGGATCACATCGGAGCTTAGAAATGAGTCTTAAAATATGGTGAACTTTACATTAAGCTTCAAGAATAATGTGAACAAAAGCAAAAAGTATTTGAAGCAAAGTGTGTGTCCAGGAAGACAGGCCTGTTTGTCTGGGGTTTCACTACTGCTGTCTGAAAAGCTGCAAAAATTGTTATCTGGTCTGAGGCTTTTTCAAGATTTTGGCAAATTTCATCAGATTTTGCTTTCAGGGTCTTATCTACATCCTGTCTCTGTCTCTGTCTCCAGCCGTCTGGGCTGGACCAGCATCAGTCCAGTCCAGTTCAGTTAGAAGATAAAACAACACCATCTAGTGTCGACAGGCCCAGTGTGCGGCCATCAGATCAACACAAATCAATARAGTCATCTAAACATCGGGCGCTTTAACGCAGGATAAATGTGTGATGAGTGATGTCTGTTTTTGATGCAACTTGAAGCTATCTCAACTTTTAACTCCTTAAAATTAGAGTGTTTATGTCAAGTAATCTGATGGCTGCTGTCCCATTCCAAGTTTACATAAAAATTAGGATTACATTAAATTTCTTGAGATTACGTACTCAACTAAGTACTTGTCGTATTTTATTAGATGTTAAAAACAGATGGCATGACCTTTGACCTTAGGGGATGGAGAGTCCATATAATGTCTAAACTATTTTTCTGCTTTGAGCCCATCAGACATATGAGGGACACACAGGTGTCAGGGATTAAATGTCTTTCTTAAGGACATGCAAAACATATGTGGAACTGAACCTGCGGGTTTCTGGTCCCAGTATGGCTTCCATACCACTGTGCCATAGCCGCTTGGCAAACAAATGTTTTCACCTCTTCTTTACTGGTCAATTTTAAAACCCTAAATTTTCTTAATCTGATGTTAATTTGATTAATTTTTGCACAAAGACATCAAGGGTCTGACTGAGGTGGTCTCTTCCACGAGTCTTATTTTCCCAATGTTTGGATCAAATCCTTGTAAACAATTACTTTGATGATTCACAGCACATTCATTTTTGATATGATTCTTTACGCCTCGTTTGTTCATAAAAAACAGCTAATATCAGATTGTTCTGTTTTCCACCGTCAGTAACTCTCTCTCCTCCAGCTCCGATGACCAGTCTGCACAGAGAGGATCGGTAACGCAGGAGCATGCAGCATCATTGTTTGTACAGTAAATGTCAAACAAGACACTAGGCAGGCTTTGTGTGCTTCACGATGAAATCATCACGCCCAGGAAGTGAGCCTTGTGTCGAGCGGATCAGCAGGAAAGTATTCTGTGAAATATCTCTTTGCATTTTGTTTTACTTTCAAAGCAAAGAAATAGATATAAACAGATTTTAATGTAAAATTTAAAAAAAATTAAATTATGATTAACTGCAATGAATAAAAAGCTTTATACAATTAGAATGAAATCATAAAGTGGGTAAAATAAGTACTGAACACGTCAACATTTTTCTCAGTAAATATATTACTAGAGGTGCTAATGACATG